GCGCTCCCGGCTCCCCACCGGCCAGCAGGTCTCGCTTCCACGTTAGCCAACGGCCGGGAGGTGAAAGGGGAGCGCGGGTGTGTATCCGGGTCACGCGGGGGGCGGGGCGGGGGCGGGGCCCTCGGGCTCCTCCCAGGGGCGGGGCGACCGGCTTGGAACTCCGGGAGGCGGGGGTCCGCGCTGCCTCCGTCGGTCCTCTTGGTGGTGTTTGGGTTTTCAGACCATTGCTGGTCTGGATGTGGCGGAGCTGCTTCCCCCGCACGGAAGGATGCTGAATACTTTGTAGCAATTTAAATTAAATGTCCCTGTCAGCGACAGGGTATGGCTGAAATAGAGCCACAGTGACAATGTAGACTTCCCATCACTCAGACTGTTGAGGAACGGAGGACGTTACGAGCCTTTTTAAGAGAAATCTGTTTGCTTTTTTTTTTGTAGGCACGTGTGTAGACAGAACCTGTAACTTTAAATCGCCTCTCTGGGTTCTTCTAGGCAGAGAGGGAGTTGGGTGGAGACGGAGAACTTTTCCTGGCTCTTTATTCTGTTGGCACCCGTGTCTAAACGCTTACGCATTTAACTCTGTCTGTATGTATAGATTTTTACCTTTACCTCCACCTGCCAGAATGAACCATCCCCTATGCAGGTGAAGAGCTTACCTTGATTAATGACTTTCACTTCCAAGTACACAGCCATTGCCTAAGCCCTGGATTCTTCACTGAGGCTTCTTTTCTCTTCCTATTCCTGTGGGTTTATAGAATAAGGATAAGCATTTCTCAGACACAAAACCTTATCAAAATCTAGCCAAAAGGTAATAGGAAGCAAGGTAGAGGTAGAGTTTTCTCCATGTGGTTTTAAATGCGCTTCTCTTTCTCTTTCAGCCTCTGATGAGGTGTCAGTCATAGGGACATAGCTTTGGAAATATGAAGCAAACTTATCTTTGATATACGTGGGGCAAGGCAAGGGAAATGATGAATCCAGCTGGTGGCTCAGAGTAAGTGGGCAAACGGTAGACAGATTTCCATGATTCCTGGTTCTCCAGGATCCCAGTTAGGAAATGACCAGCAAAATGTCATTACTGTAAAGAACCAGAAGCCCTAGGGGGCATTTATAGGGCCATGCTCTTTTTAATTGCTCACATCCAGGGGCGGGGCTAAGAAGAGGAGGTTGACTGCAAGAGGCCCGGAGGGAACACCTGAGGTGCCCCAAGTGTTCCGTACTATGACTGTCGGAGTGGTGACCTGACGCTGCACATTTGTCCAAATTCAGCAAATCAAGTTCTTTTTTAAAAAAACACCTTTATTGTGGTATGGCTCCTGTATAGTAAACTACACATATTTCAGATGTACACTTGGCTGAATTTTGATAGATGTAGACACCCATGAAACCACCACCACAATCAAGACAGCTAACATTTCCATCACTCCCCAAGAGGTGCAATTTTCGAATTTCCCAATTTATCCTTTCCCACCCCCTTTAACCACTGGTAACCATAAGTTTGTCAAATTCTTAAAATTAATTAATTTTATTATATATAAATTATACCTTAAAAACTGATTTTTTTTTTTTTTGGAAGGAAGGGAAGAAGGAAGTACAGACCCATAGACCAAGTCAAGAAACAGTATGCATGTCATCCTGTTGTGACTCTGGAGACAGTGCAGAGCAGGGCACAGAGCTGACATCTGCATTTCAGCCGTGACACTGCACGTCCCGACAACACTGTCCTGGTGGGATACTTTAAGAAAGCAAGAAATATCTTCTACTCCTGTCTAGCGCAATCTGCAAGCTCATTCTCCCCCACGGACTTGTGAAGGTAGAAATAAACACAAAATCATCAAGGGAGAAAAGACCACTTTTCCTCTAGTCAAACTAGAATGCAGATAGCTGGGGAAATGGGTGACCCCCTATGCCTTTTGAAGGGGCACAGGGCAAATGAGAATAAATCATGCAGGTATAAAAAGCCCCAGTCTGACTGGATTTGTGGCCTGAGATCCTGCAGAGATGGACCTGGCTAAGAAAAACTAGGGCAGCATTTAGAAGTGAAGTCACTTGTCTATATCAATCATAGCAAGGCTAAGGCCAAAAAGAAGGAGGAGACACATGCATCCTAAAGAACTGAGGAAGATGCTCTGCTTGCATTCTACCTGGAGCAGTTAAGGCCAACTTCAGTCAAAGCCGTGATGTTCAGAAAGTGCTTCTCAGGCTGAGGCAAAAGAGGGAACAAAGACACAAAAGAAAAGCACAGCGTTTGCTGTTGCAAAGTGGATCCCAGGTATGATGGCCCTTATCTTAGAGTCAGTAAAACAAATCTTTGAAGTCTGGCTCTGTTGCCCACGGAGTAGGAACCCAGGCTCCACCACTTACTGGCTGTATGATCTTAGGCAAGACACTTGACCTCTCTTATCTAGGTGGGCAAACGCACACGTGTGCGCGCACACACACATGACACTAAGGAATCTTCAGAGACTGGTTTGGAGAGATAATTATAATCCAACTCATAAAAAGTGTGGCAGAGGTTAGAAGTAAAATCTTTCATTTGGTTGACTTGGCCCACAGATGCTGTACGTGTGTGCCCCGCAGGCAGCCCCCGCAGGCAGCCCCCTCAACGCCCTCAGAATGCATTCATCTGACCCTCTTCCCCTCAGCCTTTCCCCCTGGGGCCAACTCTGCATTACCCATCTCCAGCACTTCCTCTTTCTTCCTTCCTAGCAGACTGTAAGTTTTTGTGAGAGAGAACAGATGTGGGTCTAGCCGCATGTGATGTGATGTGATGTGATGGCTCAGGATTCATCTAAATAGTTGCGGTAACTCTGTTCTCTGTCGCCCCAGGCTTCTTTAAAGCTAGAATGTGGCCTTAAACCCAGTTCTAGCCAGTGATACTGAAGAGAACATCCCTGAAGAACAGACCTGAGGATAAAAGCCAGCGTCTTTGGCCTGGAGGAAGGGAAGACAGGAGGAGCCTGGGTGCCGTATCATTGGACACATCGCAGTAGGACCACTGAACGCGGTTTTACGATTTCTCTCCTTTCTTCTCATCCTTAGAATGTATCCCACTTACTCTACTAGGGCTGGACTTTAGAGGCAAATTACTATGTTTTAAAGTGACGTATCATTTTTCCTGTGACATTAAACTAAGCATTTGATATACTGTTCAGTTTATTTTGACTTTCAATATTTAGAGATTTTTTCCCCCCATTTGGATTAAATTTTCTGTTTACATTTACATGGTTCCAAAGTCAAAAATATAAAACAAGGGACAGTGTAAGAAGCTAAAGTCCTGTCTCTGACTCAATCACTCTGTTCTCTCCCTCCGAACAAGTAACAGTTTTTATTAGTTTTTAAAAATTGATTTTTCAAAATATGAGCCATAATGGATTCCATTTCTCAGATGAAAGGAAACATACTCTACACACTGCCGTGCCACTTGCCTTTTAGATTTTTATTTTATTTATTTATTTTATTGATGTGTAGCTGACTTACAATGCTGTGTTAGTTCCTGGTGGACAGCACAGTGATTCCCTGCTGCCTTTTCATTTGCGCCTTGGAGGCTACTCTGCAGCGAGCTCTCCCCTGTCCGTTTGAGGACGACTCCATTCTGTGACTATACAATCGTGCTCTGTTGCTCTGCTGTGTGAACATACTACCATTTCTTCTCCCCTTTCCCTGAGGATGGAAACTAGGATTGTTTCCAGCACTTTACAAATAGTTTTCTAACAACAACAACAACAACAAAAGCACAGTTGCCTATACCTTTTCATGTGTTCCTCAAGTATTTTTAAGATACATGTCTAAAACTGGAATTGTTGTGTCAGAGGGTAAGTGCACATATGATTTTGCCAGACATTGCTAAATTCTTCTCCAGTGGGGTTGGATCTTCTTGCATTGTAACCACCAAGGTGTTAAAAGAGTCTGTTTCCCCAGTCTTTTATTTTTACAATGCTGTGTTCAATATCATAAAGGTTTGATTAAACATGAATTGATGAATGAGCTCCTTGAATCTTCCCCCTGAATTCTGGAGTGCCTCTGATGAAGAGTGGAGTGTTGTGATGGGAGGAGGAGGCAATCTGGAGCGCAGTGCTTTTGACATATGGCACTAGGAAGGCGATGACTGTGGTTCAGATGGGTTTTTAATTAAACCTAACAGGGAAAACAAGAATGTTGGATGGAATAAACAATCACTTATTAATGAGATTTGTTGTAGAAATATCATAAACCCCACTTCATGCTTGAATTGGATTCAAACATTAAGAAGTACATTTATAATCAGACTTGATGACTGTTAAACCTCTCCACATAGAATAAAAGCGATTAGGAAAACCAATAAAATTTATCATTTATAGTCGGCAATATCAATGGATGTAACTGAGCTTAGAGAGAAGCTATTAAAAGGCCATAATTCTAACTACTG